ATTATAAGACACTGATGAAAGAAATTAAAGATGATACAAATAGATGGAGAGATATACCATGTTCTTGGATTGGAAGAATCAACATTGTGAAAATGACTCTACTACCCAAAGCAATCTATAGATTCAATGCAATCCCTATCAAACTACCACTGGCATTTTTCACAGAACTAGAACAAAAAATTTCGCAATTTGTATGGAAACACAAAAGACCCCGAATAGCCAAAGCAATCTTGAGAACGAAAAAAGGAGCTGGAGGAATCAGGCTTCCTGACTTCAGACTATACTACAAAGCTACAGTAATCAAGACAGTATGGTACTGGCACAAAAACAGAAAGGTCAATGGAACAGGATAGAAAGGCCAGAGATAAACCCACGCACATATGGACACCTTATCTTTGATAAAGGTGGCAGGAATGTACAGTGGAGAAAGGACAGCCTCTTCAATAAGTGGTGCTGGGAAAACTGGACAGGTACATGTAAAAGTATGAGATTAGATCACTCCCTAACACCATACACAAAAATAAGCTCAAAATGGATTAAAGACCTAAATGTAAGGCCAGAAACTATCAAACTCTTAGAGGAAAACATAGGCAGAACACTCTATGACATAAATCACAGAAAGATCCTTTCTGACCCACCTCCTAGAGTAATGGAAATAAAAACAAAAATAAACAAATGGGACCTAATGAAACTTAAAAGCTTTTGCACAGCAAAGGAAACCATAAACAAGACCAAAAGACAACCCTCAGAATGGGAGACAATATTTGCAAATGAAGCAACCGACAAAGGATTAATCTCCAAAATTTACAAGCAGCTCATGCAGCTCAATAACAAAAAAACAAACAACCCAATCCAAAAATGGGCAGAAGACCTAAATAGACATTTCTCCAAAGAAGATATACAGACTGCCAACAAACACATGAAAGAATGTTCAACATCATTAATCATTAGAGAAATGCAAATCAAAACTACAATGAGATATCATCTCACACCAGTCAGAATGGCCATCATCAAAAAATCTAGAAACAATAAATGTTGGAGAGCATGTGGAGAAAAGGGAACACTCTTGCACTGCTGGTGGGAATGTGAATTGGTTCAGCCACTATGGAGAACAGTATGGAGGTTCCTTAAAAAACTACAAATAGAACTACCATATGACCCAGCAATCCCACTACTGGGCATATACCCTGAGAAAACCAAAATTCAAAAAGAGTCATGTACCAAAATGTTCATTGCAGCTCTATTTACAATAGCCCGGAGATGGAAACAACCTAAGTGCCCATCATCGGATGAATGGATAAAGAAGATGTGGCACATATATACAATGGAATATTACTCAGCCATAAAAAGAAACGAAATTGAGTTATCTGTAATGAGGTGGATAGACCTAGAGTCTGTCATACAGAGTGAAGTAAGTCAGAAAGAAAAAGACAAATACCGTATGCTAACACATATATATGGAATTTAAGAAAAAAAAATGTCATGAAGAACCTAGGAGTAAGACAGGAATAAAGATGCAGACCTACTGGAGAACGGACTTGAGGTTATGGGGAGGGGGAAGGGTGAGCTGTGACAGGGCAAGAGAGAGTCATGGACATATACACACTAACAAACGTAGTAAGGTAGATAGCTAGTGGGAAGCAGCCGCATGGCACAGGGATATTGGCTCGGTGCTTTGTGACAGCCTGGAGGGGTGGGATAGGGAGGGTGGGAGGGAGGGAGACGCAAGAGGGAAGACATATGGGAATATATGTATATGTATAACTGATTCACTTTGTTATAAAGCAGAAACTAACACACCATTGTAAAGCAATTATACCTCAATAAAGTTGTTAAAAAATAAAAAAAAAAAACTAAAATTAGAATTACCATATGACCCAGCAATCCCACTATTGGGCATATACCCAGAGGAAACCATAATTCAAAAAGACACATGCACCCTAATTGTCATTGCAGCACTATTTACAGTAGCCAGGACATGGAAGCAACCTAAATGCCCATTGACAGACAAATGGTTGAAGAAGATGTGGTACATATATACAATGCAATATTACTCAGTGATAAAAAGGAATGAAATTGGATCATTTGTAGAGACATGGATAGATCTAGAGACTGTCATACACAGTGAAGTAAGTCAGAAAAAGAAGAACAAATATTGTATATTAATGCATATATGTGGAACCTAGGAAAATGGTACAGAAGAACAAATATATATTAATGCATATATGTGGAACCTAGGAAAATGGTACAGAAGAACAAATATTATATATTAATGCATATATGTGGAACCTAGGAAAATGGTACAGATGAACCGGTTTGCAGGGCAGAAACTGAGACACAGAAGTAGAGAATAAACATATGTACACCAAGGGGAGAAAGCGGCTGGGGGGTCGGGGGGGGGCATGTGATGAATTGGGAGATTGGGATTGACGTGTATACACTAATATGTATTAAATGGATAACTGATAAGAACCTGCTGTATAAAAAAATAAAATTCAAAAAAAAATCTTAAAAAAAAAAAAAAAAGAAGTGGAGTCAACGGGACTTGCTGATGGTCTGGATGCAAGATGTGAGAAAGAAGAGTCAAGGATGATGCCCATGACCTTCAGCCTGAAGAACGAGAAGGATGGAGTTGCCATCGAGTGATATGGGGAAAGCTGAGCGTAGAGCAGATTTCTATGTGAGCAGATGAGGAATTTGGTCTCAGACGTGTCAAGCTTGAGATGCCTGTAACCTCTCAGAGAAGTTACTGAGTAAGAAGTTGGATTTGAGTTTGGGGTTTAGTGGAAAGATCTGGTCTGGAGGTAGAAATTTGTCACCAGCTTAATAGATGGCAATAGAAGACACGAGACGGGCTAAAATCCCTAAGGGAGTAAATGGAGCTAAAGAAGAGAGGTCCAAGGACTAGGCTTGGAGGTTGGGAGTGAGGCGGAACCGGCGGAGACCGAGGCCCTATGAGACAGCGCGATCTAGCCCCTGCCTGCCCCGACAGCTGCATCTCGGTCTTCCTCTTGATCACGCTGGCCTTTCAGCAGATCCTAAATGATGCCAAGTCTTACCCTACTCCAGGACATTCGCATTTGCTGTTCCTTCATCCCTGAAGGACCCAAATCAGACCCCGATTCTGCCCATGGCTGCTCCTTATCTGTCAAGTCTTAGTTTAAGCGTCACCTTCACAGAGAGGACCTATTCCATCCACCACTACCTGATACATTCATTCTATTTCAGCGCCCTGCTGATTTCCCTCAGTGAACTTTTTACAATTGGCTGCCAGGATACCATAGTCTCTTGCTTTTCTTCTTTCTCCTCCAGATGCTCCACTGCAGTTCCCTTTGCCTTCCTTCTACTCTCCCCACCTCTTAATGTTGGAGTGCCCCGGGGCTCACCCTCAGGTCTATCAACACTGCCCCGCTCCGGGATCTCCCCCCAGTCGTACAACTTTATCTACGTGCAAGACTCCCAAATGTCTCTATCTCCAGCTCAGACCTCTTCTCCGAAATCAGACTCATACCCAACTATCAATTTGACACCCCCTTGGAGATCTAATACATTAAGATGTCCAAAGTCAATTTCTCAACTTTCTCTCCACAGGCCTATCTTCAACCTTCTCTCTCTCTCACTAGGCATCAACACCACTATTCCAGTTACTCAGGACAAAACCTTAGAGTTATGTTTAATTTCTCTGTTTCTCTCCTGCCTCACATCCCAACTATCAGCAAACCCTGTTTACCTTCAAAATAAATTCAGAATCTGACTACGTCCCTCTCCACTACTCCCACCCTGATTCAAGCCACCAGACATCTCTTGCCTGGTTTACTCAACAGCCTCCTTCTGGGTGCTCCTGCTGCTACCCTTACCCCTCTTTATCCATTCTCAGTACCTTAGCCAGAGTGATTCTTTTAAAACATTAAGGCTTACAGCATTTTTGTGCCACCCTGCCCACCCCCCAACGAACTTCTCTTACTTTTCCTCCTTTTACTCTCTCCCTCATTCACACCCTGGACTCCATGCTATTCCTCCAACTCTTCAGGGACACGCCTACCTTTGGCAACTGCTGTTCCAAGATACTCTTCCTCCAGATATCTGCTCAGGCAACTCCCTCACCTGTCACCTCTTACAATCTTTGTTCACATGTTACCTTCTTTACGAGGCCTACCCTGATCAAACTAGTTAAAGCAGACAGCTGTGTCCTCCTTCCTTGCTCTCCTTCTTTTCCCTATAGCACTTATGTTCTTTTCAGGTACTGTAACCAAGGTACAAATTCATCCTGGCTTACCAGGAACTCTCCTGGTTTCCAAAGCCCCACATCTTAGGAACACTCACTGCTGAGCAAACCAGGATGTTGGTCATCCTACCCATAATTTACTATTTTTATTTTCTGTCTCTCCTCATGATATATAAAATCACTTCCACAAGGGCAGGGACTTGACTGCTGTGTTCACATAGAACAGAGCCTGGCACATAATAGGTGCTCAATAAATAGGGCTTAACCACCAGCCCATCACCACCTTAATCAGCCTGCTGCAAGGGATCACCTAGCAAACTAGCTGAAAATAATCAGGTGTATAATTTGAGCTTTTCAAATTTAATTACACTAAAATTTGAAACTGTGGCATTATAAGGTATGACCAACCAGTGGAAACTAGACACAAAAAATTTCCATATATAAGTTATTCCTAACAACCATAAGCCAAACCAGGAATGCTATCCCCCAAATCCACACGACCCAAACATTATAGATTTCACATAAAGTGGCCTAATTCAGAAAATAACCTTTGAGGACTTCCCTGGTGGTCTAGTGGTTAAGACTCCAGCTTCCACTCCCAGGGGGCACCGGTTGGATCCCGAGTGGGGGGAGTTCCGCAGGCCACACAGTGCGGCCAAAGAAAAAAGAAAATAACCTTTGACACCTCTCCACTAACCCTATAATTCCTATGCAAACCGCAGTTTCCAATACCTGCAACTAAGACCTGCTGCACAGCAAACAGGCCAATTCTTACCTCCTGTGTAGAGAAAGGAGCCAGACAGGCCTCCGAAGTAGATGAGAGCTAAGTGCTCCAGTTTCAGAGGGGACAGGTAGTACAGGCAAGCAGCACAGACACAGCCCAAGGTGTAGAGGAAGACTCCAAACCGGACGACATCCTGGGGCTCCAAGATTCGGTCCACCAGGGTCCTGTCATCACTCTTTTTGTGGTCAATGCCCTTGGAAAAGTCGTAGTAAGTGTTGACCAAGTTGCCAGCCCCGTGCACAGCGAGGACAGCTACGGCACAACCCACCAGTAGCCTGGGATCCAGGACGCCCTGGGATCTGTAGGCCAGGGCACTGCCCAGGGCCACCGGGGTGAGTGAGGCACTGAAGCTCCAGGGCCGCAGGGCCAGAACATAGGAGGCGCACTTCTGCCTCCACGAGCGCTGCGGCGGTCTGTCCTGCTCCGAACAGCCGTTCCCCAGCAGGTCCCTGTCCCCGACCTTGGCCGTCTCTCCTGCCTGGATGTTAACCTTCTCCCCCGGGACCTGCGAGGCCGCCATGGAGAATGCACTTGGGTGAAGTCAATGTTAAACAGTGAGCCACCCACACACAGCGTCCGCCCTGAGGCGAGGACAGGCGGGGCGGCGGACCTGACCTTCTTCGGTTCCACCCGGGGGCAGGGATAGGGAGGCGGCGGGGCCCGGGGACTGCAGCGAGTGGGCCTGGCACCCCACGAGGCCCGGCGGCACCTCCCCGACCTCCTGTCACCTGGGCGAGGACCGCTTCCAGACGCCCGCCTCGCCCTACAGCCCGAGACTGAACCGCTGCCGCCTCTACGCAGCTGCGGGAGCGACCATCTTGGGCACCCGCCACTGTAGGCCCGCCGGGAAACAGGGACCGGCTGCGCGGGCCTGGGCCGGGGCGGGGTTGAGGGCGGGACCAGGCTGAGGGCGGGGCCGGGGCTTGGGGCGGGGGCGGGGCCGGGACAGTGCAGCGACCCAGCGGTCCAGCCCTTCCTCACCCCGACGGTCCGCGAGTGGCAGTTGCTCCCGCACTTGCTGGAAACAGCCTCACTTAGTATCTCAAGAAGGGCCACGAGTGCGTGTCGCTTTACGACTTACCAAGAGCTTTCTCTCACGGAAATAGGACTCATTCATTTTTTTTCATTCAACATGCATTTATTGAGCGCCTACTGTGTGCAACATTTACTGAACACCTACTATTGCACGCAGCAGTGAATAAAACAGATAAAAATCAGGGAGCACATTGAGGGTGATAAGAAAGGTGTAATTAAACTTCCTTTCCAAATGAGAAAACCGAAGCTCTGAAATGGGAAATGACGATGTCTAGGAAATTATTAGCTTAGCCAAGACATTGAAGCAACCTAAAGGTCCATCAACTGATGAATGGATAAAGATATATGAAAAATGGAATATTACTCAGCCATAAAAAGAATGAAATATTGCCATTTGCAGCAACATGAATGGACCTAGAGAGTATCATACGAAGTGAAGTCAGACAGAGAAAGACAAATATTATATGATATCACATATGGGGAATCTTAAAAATAATACAAATGAACTTTTTTATAAAACAGAAACAGACTCACAGAAACAGAAAACAAACTTATGGTTACCAAGGAGAAAGGGGGGAGGGGTAAATTAGGAGTATGGGATTAAAAGATACACACTACTATATATAAAATAGATAAATAAGGATTTACTGTACAGCACAGGGAACTATATTCAATATCTTGTAATAACCTATAATGGAAAAGAATCTGAAAAAGAATATATACATATGTATCTGAATCACTTTGCTGTACAGCTGAAACTAACACAATATTGTAAATCAACTATAGCTCAATTTAAAAAAACTAAACTAAAATTAAAAAAAAGAAATTATTAGCTCTGGTAATAATCACAACAGCAATAATTCCCACTTTTTATTATGCATATTCCATATACTGCCCTGACTGCCTTTTTATCTTTCTTCTAATTTATTTACTTATTCATGCACAGAACTGCCCTCCTCCCCACCCACCAGTTGGCCAGCTTTGTATCTCCACTTCCTGCCTTCTGGGAGCTTATGGTCCATATCTGTAGCTTGTTCTGGCTGGAGAGAGCCAATTGTTAAATTTTTAGGAATTTTGTGAGCAGTCATTAAGCAAAGCCATTATTAAAAATTAAATTAGGGCTTCCCCTGGTGGCGCAGTGGTTGAGAGTCCGCCTGCCGATGCAGGGGGCATGGGTTCGTGCCCCGGTCCGGGAGGATCCCACATGCCGCGGAGCGGCTGGGCCCGTGAGCCGTGGCCGCTGAGCCTGCACGTCCGGAGCCTGTGCTCCGCAACGGGAGAGGCCACAACAGTGAGAGGCCCGCGTACTGGAAAAAAAAAAAAAAAAAATTCAATTATACAAACCTACGAGTAGATCCATTATATTAAAAGCCAAGGTAACAAATACTCAAAACTCATTACTTCCTAATTATTTCACTACACTTTACCATTTATGCTCTTCAGGTTATTTATGTCTATTTTATCTGCATTGTGGAAATACTACATAATGATGTGCTGCTGCTTATCTCTTCCTACCTGTTCATTCAGTGATATCCGCTGGTGGTTTGAAATCTGCCATGATGGGAGTATTCATACCACACAAATCAGCAAATGCTTCATAATTGTTTTGTACATCATCTGGAATTAAGAAAGTGACAGAGAAAAGTTAATAATGCAGATTAAATTTTTTTTTTTCTTTGCGTTACGCGGGCCTCTCACTGCTGTGGCGTCTCCCGTTGCGGAGCACAGGCTCTGGATGCGCAGGCTCAGCGGCCATGGCTCACGGGCCCAGCCGCTCCGCGGCATGTGGGATCTTCCCGGACCGGGGCACGAACCCGCGTTCCCTGCATCGGCAGGCGGACTCTCAACCACTGCGCCACCAGGGAAGGCCCAGATTAAATTTTAAGTGTGTCAACTCTGTAGCTGTTTCGTTTTGAGTAGCAGCAAAAATTTGAGGAAATATACTTCCAGTATTAGAATATTATCCAATTCAGCAAAGAAGCCATTCATGTCATTGACGAACTAGCAAAGTTCAATATATCTCGATTGTTTCACTTTCCACCTACTCCTTAACGTAAAAGATAATACTGGGACTTCCCTGGTGGTCCAGTGAGTAAGACTCCGCGTTCCCAATGCAGGGGACCCGGGTTTGACCCCTGTTCAGGGAACTAGGTCCTTCATGCATGCTGCAACTAAGCGTTCTCATGCCGTAACTAAAGATCCCGCATGCCACAACGAGGATCCCACAAGCCGCAACTAAGACCCAGCACAGCCTAAATAAATATTTTAAAATATATATATATATTATTTTATTTTATTTATTTATTTTTGGCTGCATTGGGTCTTCATTGCTGTGGGCTTTCTCTAGTTGCAGCAAGCGGGGGCCACTCTTCATTGCGGTGTGCAGGCTTCTCATTGCAGTGGCTTCTCTTGTTCTGGAGCACGGGCTCTAGAGCGCAGGCTCAGTAGTTTTGGCACGCGGGCTCAGTAGTTGTGGCGCCCGGGCTTAGTTGCTCCGCAGCATGTGGGATCCTCCTGGACCAGGGCTTGAACCCGTGTCCCTTGCATTGGCAGGTGGATTCTTAACCACTGTGCCACCAGGGAAGCCCATATTTTTTTTTTTAAAAAAAAGATAATATCAACCAACAGTCATGTTGGAACTACACTCATTGGTCAATGCAACCACACAGAGGCTACACAGTATCAAAGAAAGCATACAGTTAGAATCAACTGGCTATATGGAATTTATAATAAAAAGTATCGTGTATTTTATTATTATTTGTAAGTTTTGTGCTACACATTCTTCGTATTAGTGAACGTTATAATACACATATAACATATATGGACACAGGACTGACTACATGATTTTGGTGCCCAGTGCAAAATAAAAATGCAGGAACTCTTGTTCAAAAATCATTAAGAATTTCAAGACAGAGCATTCTGACCTCACAAGTCACACATGATGAAGGAAGCCCAGTATATACATACATGCCGCCCTCCCGTCCCAGGTGATTGTTAAACATTTACAACTCCACCACCCAGCACATACTTGCAATGCTGGCCAAACCTGAATATCCAATGCTGCCGAATCAGACAAGAGGAAGAAGCAGATATATTCAAGTCCTGGCTCTACCACTTACCAACTGTATAACCCAATTCCTCTGGACATCAGATTACTCCTATACAAAGTGGGAACAATATGAACTGCCTCATTCATAGAGATGTTCAGGAACAGCAGTGACAGCATTTACTGACTGTTCATATGTGTCATACAGTGTTTTGGGTATTTTACATGTATTAGCATTTAACCCACACAATACCACCTACCGAAGTAGGTGCATTATAATCCTTCTAGTTTTATAAATAAGGAAATAGGTACATAAGTGCTTTCTCATATAGTCAGTAAATGTTGGAGCTAAGTTTCAGATTCGGTTAGTTTTGACTCCAAGATGCTTTTAGCCACTACTCTATAAGGTCCGCCAAAACGCCTGATAGCTTGTAAGTGCTCAATAAATATTAGTTATTATGTTAACATAATGGACAAGAAAGCTCTGAGTAAACTGAAAAGAGACCTATAAATGCACTGATTACTATTCTATAAAACCATCTGTGATTGTTAATTAGAAAACAGGGCCATACCACGTCTTAGGGAGACAAAAACCTCATATATTGCTGGTGGAAATAAAAATTGATACCTCCCTTACAGAGATGAATTTGACAATATCCATCGAATTACACATGCATTTACCCTCTGACCCTATAATCGCATTTTTGGTACTATTTTGTATAGCTGCCAGGGAATAAAATTATATATCTACAAAGGCATTCATTGCATCATCATTAGTAATAGCATGAATTTGAAAATAACACGTGTCCATCAACAGAGAAATGGAAATATAAATTATGATATATCCATGTGATGGAACACTATGCAGCTATAAGAATAACAAAAGAACAAGGAAGCCTTCTATACAGTAAGAAAGAACTTTAAGATACCGTAGAATTAAAAAAAAAAAATTTATTTATTTAATTTATTTCTTTTGGCTGCATTGGGTCTTCGTTGCTGCGCGCGGGCTTCCTCTAGTTGCGGCGAGCATGGGCTTCTCATTGCGGTGGCTTCTCTTGCTGCGGAGCACAGGCTCTAGGAACGTGGGCTTCAGTAGTTGCAACACGCGGGCTTCAGTAGCTGTGGCTCGCGGGCTCTAGAGCGCAGGCTCAGTAGCTGTGACGCACGGGCTTAGCTGCTCCGCAGCATGTGGGGTTTTTCCCGGACCAGAGCTTGAACCCATGTCCCCTGCATTGGCAGGCGGATTCTTAACCACTGCGCCACCAGGGAAGCCAAGGTATCCTAGAATTTTAAAAAGTACAGAACAGTGTATATAATGTAACAAAAGAGGGAAATAAGAATATATATTTATATTTGTCTTTTATTTACATAGAAATGTAAAAAATGTAAAATCTAGAGATACATAAGAACTAAGAAAATTAGTGAAGGGGCAGGGGTGGAGCAAGACTTATAATGATAAGCATAATTTTTAATTATTTTGAGATTTGAATAGTAAATGTATTACATATTCAAAAATGTTTAACGACTAAATATAGAGATGTTGAAAACAAGTGAAAAATATGAAATTCAGAGGAACAATTATTTCACAGAAGAATCAGTGTAAAGATTCTAAATCTAGAGAAATAGTCATGGGACTTCCCTGGCGGTCCAGTGGTTAAGGCTTCACCCTCCAATGCAGGGGGTGTGGGTTTGATCCCCTCAGGGAGCTAAGATCCCACATGCCTCATGGCCAAAAAAAACCAAAACATAAAACAGAAGCAATATTGTAA